CCGAGGCGGCGACGGGAGCGGTGCAGAGGTGGATCCAGCTCAACGATGAGGCTACCGCGCGCATAATGAAGAGAGAGGAACACATTGAGTGGCTGAGGAAGCTCTTCGCTGGGTGGAAGGAGGCCCGGCCAGCCTTGAGGGAGTCGCGGAGGAGGAGGGATATAACAGAGGTACCGTAACGTGGGGACGGGCCAACAGCCAGTGGGACGAACGAGGGCCGCGACGGCGGCCCAAACGGGAGGGAGCGGAGACAGTGGGCAGCGAGCGAAGTGGGTGAGACTGATGATGCTCCTTCGACTTAGGGAGCGGTTCAGCTGCTGGGCGGGCTTCAGGGTGGTGCTCACGCGAACAGGAATCGACGCGATGTACAAAGCATACAAGAAAGGGGAGAAAGAAGAGGAGAGACCCCCCAGTGATGACGAAGCAGAAGCTAGCGCAGACGAGAGCAGGGCAGACCCGGGGACTGGGGAGCCGGAGCAGACGGCATCGGCCGCCGAGGGAACGTTGGGAAAAGAGGCACGAGGAGGGCGGCGGCGACCTCAACCGACTATGAAGGACCCGTCACCAGACGACGCAGGGCGGACGACGGGGAGGCGGAGCAGACGCGCAGGGCGAGACGAGGGAGGGAGCAGGATGTTGCGGAGATCAGCAGGAGGATGTACGACGAGATTAGGAGCAGCAGGGACCCGAGGGACCATGTGGAAGACGGCTAGTGCTAGTCCCCCATCGGGAGGACGACCCCGGCTAGTCGCCGACCACACCCACAAAGAACCCTGCACAAAGACCGCAGGGCGGGGACCTGTTCCTTTTTACCCATCTCCTAGTAGAGGTGTCTCCGTTTTATTTATTTGCTAGTTATAGTTAGTGCGCCCTGGGGAGGACGACCCCGGCTAGTCGCCGACCACACCCACAAAGAACCCTGCACAAAGATCGCAAGGGCGGGGGCCTGTTCCTTTTTACCCATCTCACAGTAGAGAGGTGTCCGTTTTTATTTATTTAGTGCGCCCTGGTCAGGCGCTCACCAAAGGGCCTTCGCCCTCAGCCGGCGCTCCGCTTTGTGCGCGTCGTGTTCCGCCTTGATTTCTCTCCGGTCAGCATTCGCCGCGCCCCGCTCCTGCTTCTTCGCCTTTCGCAGCTTTTGCTTGCGCGTGAGCTTCTGCGCCGCCTGATGTCGACGTGGGCGCGGCGTAAGACACCGGAACATGCATCTAGGACGGCATCGGAACAGGCCAAGTTTCGACCGCGCGCGCCTTGGATATCTTTGTCTTGACAACTCGTGGTTTGAGCAAGCCGGTCGCGCTCGTCGTGGTGAGCGCGTCCGTGTCCATGCTGTCGGCAGCTGCCTCACGCCTGCAAGGTTGTCACGCGCTCTTGGCGGTGCACGCGGCATGCTCCTACGCGGGCGGGCGGCGACACCTGCGGCGCGACGCTGAGCTGCGCTTGCCCATTGACGGATGCGAGTCAGGAGCGGCTGGCTGGCCCCCGGCTGGCTGCGAGCGCTTCGAGCCCTTGTGCGCGTCCGCGAGGCCAGATATAAAAAAGCTCGTTTTAACTTCCCGGGCGAACTGGCGAACTGGTTCGTGAACTGGTTCGGTGAACTCGCGGTTCGTTCGGTTTCGGAGTTCGCTCTGGACGGCATCCCCTTGGTTCGCTGCATGGTTCGGTCGTTCGCCCTTGGGTGCCCGAACCCTCGAACTAGTTCGTGAACTCGAGCCTTTTCTTTGAAGCCGGAGGAGGCGGTCAGGCTGAGCGGGTCCCCCCCCTCCCCCCTTCAATGGTCCGCGGCGGGCGGCGGCGCACCGGGGTAGTCGCGCCCGTAGTCCGCTAGATTGCAGACTGTCGCGGACCGTCAGAACTGTGCTAGTGCCGCCTGTGTATATGGGCACCTGAGATTGAGGGTCAGACCGCGTCCGCACGCGCGCACGTGGCGCAGTTGCGCGAGTTCGTTCGTTCAGCGCGGCTCGGCTGAGCCGAACGAACGAACTAGCGATGATTTTCTTTTTTCCTAAGTTCGAACGGAGTTCACGAACGTTCGTTCGGTTTCGCAGTTCGCGCCTTCCACAGCCGGCGCGGTCCGTTCAGTTACGAGGTTCGGGCTGGGCCCCGCCGGCTGCGTTCGTTCGAGTTCGGAGTTCGCGAAATCCGCGCGAACGTCAAGGGCTGAAAAAGCTTGGTTTACTTTGGCCGCGTTGGGTGTTTTAGTACAAACCCACGTGTTTTGCGCCGGTTGGCACGCCCCAAGGACGTACCACGCCCCATTTCGAAGTACGGCGAAGTACGGGGGCGATGCCGCCGCGGAGCCAAGCTGCAGAAACGAGCTTTTAGTGCTTATGAGCATAAGCACTGGATTCTCATGCGCGCGGAGCGCGCCGGTGCTCTACCCGGACACGCGCGGAGCGCGCTAGCTGGACACCGCACGCGCGGAGCGCGCTAGCTAGACACACACGCGCGGAGCGCGCTGGCTAGATACCGCGCGGAGCGCGCGTGGCACCTATGTGCGCGGAGCGCACCGCGGTAGAGTCTAGTACCTGACATCCCCTGGGGTCCTGCCACTAAAGGCGGTTTGGGACTCGATCAGCTTGGACGACCACGGGCACGGAGGCAAGCCTCAACGTCCCGTGGCCTGGCCGCGTCGCCGAAAGGGATCGCACCACAGACCAGAGAGAGGGAGGAGCTAACCATGCGGAGAGCCCTCAGTGCTCAGAACGACCCCCTTATCCCAGGAGAGGGTGGGTGGGGAAAGCGAAGAACCGGCGCAGCCAGAGTGCTGGCGCGGTCGCAGAGCCTGGCGCGGCCACAGAGCTGGCACGGCGCCGGGCCAGGAAGAGCAGCGAGAGAGCTGCAGGAGCAGCACGCAAAGAGCGCGGCCACGAGGCACGCGGAACGTGCTTGGACGTACGTCGCGTCCTGAGTGTTCACGGAGAAAAATCCGTGAAGACTGGCAGGAGGGATGAAGACCCTTCATATGAGAAGACGCTCCTCTCCGCCGCCGCTTGGCTGCAGCACCCAATGACGCCGCCCGCCTTTGCGAGGGGGCGTCTGGACGTGCTTGGCGGTTGACGCCGGCCCGCCACTGCGCCTCGTGTGCGTCCACCTCCGTCGAGGTCGACGCGTCGAGATCGGAGCGCATCACCGAGACGCCAGAGCCCGCCTTCGCCGACATGATTCCCGCCTGAGAGCTCGGTGGAGTGTGCCGTCGCCCGAAACGGAAAACCGGACACGGGAAAATAAAGGTAGGATGACGAGGTTTGCCCTGGACCTTACCGACACGGGGAAATATAAGGTAAGATAAATTTTCAGTATACTTTTTTAGCTTGAGCACTTGAGCACTGGATAGGGTCGATTCCGCATTACTTTTAGAGATCAGTATTGGATGGTGTCGGCACACCAATCTCTCCCTCTCACATCCCCACACGAGGTCAGCGGCGCGCAGTGCCTCTCTCGCAGGCTGATATTTTCATGGCTGTTTTCGAGCTTGTTTTTGTTTCAGACTAGGGGGCCCGACCCCCTCAGAGGCGGCGGGCGGGCGCCCACAGACCGAGTCCGAGTACCGAGAGATCAAAACGCGACGGCCCAGTCAAGCACCCCTTGTCGCTTGCGTGAAGTGTGTGCAGTGGCCAATGTGTCCAATGACTCGTACACTTTATACCACTCGCTTGCTTTTTTTCGCTCCAGTCCTGCGGATCTTCAGGGCTACGAAGCCTTTCACACTCCAAGGGGCTGACTTTATACGTCAGTATATCTCTTTGTATAAGCTGTTGTATACTCTAGGACTAGGTGTGTGAGGCTGTGAGGCGCGCGTGGCGCGACTGCAGTCTGCACACCAAGTGCTCCAAGTGCTCCAATTTATACAAAGTGTTGAGATTTGGTAACAGTGGTCAGAGTGCGCTAACACCTCACCTTGACCTAGAAATACTCGTCGCCTCCTCCGTAGTCTGTGGAGCCTCGCCCCACCTGCTCGGCCGATTCCGACGGTGGCCCGCCGTCCGCCGGAGCCGCATCCAACGCTCGCCCCGCTTGGTCGGACGAGCCGTCGCGGAGAACCGGCGCGGAAGGCGCCTCTAGCGTCACCGAAGCGGGCCTCGGCGTTGACGGCGCAGCGGCGCGTGGCGAGCGACTAGGCCACATCCGCTTGAGCTCACTCAAGAAAGCGTGCACCTGCGAGAGGCACCACTCGCCCTCCGCCTCGGCCGCGAGGTAGCGAGATACGCCATCGAGGCCCGCCTCTGCCTCGGGCAGCTGCGCCTCGAGCGCGCGCCGCCGCGGCCTTGCCGCCGAGAGAAATCCCCGCGCGCGAGCCACGAAGATGTGATCGTGTGAGCCCGTGCCTTCCTCAACGCCCCCGGTGGCCTCTGGGCCGCTACTGCCGTCGTCGCCGCAACCGCCGTCACCGCCGCCTCCAGCGCCTCCAGCACCACCGCTGCCCTCGCCGCCCTCGCCGCCCTCGCCGCCCTCGCCGCCCTCGCCACCCTCGCCACCCTCGTCGTGCAGTGGCGCCTCTCGCAACGCCTGCGTGAGGTCCTCCTCGACGGTGTCGATGGAAGCCTGCAGCTCGCGCAGCTCGAGCGCAAGCTCGGCGAGGCAGAGGCGCGTCGCGCCCGGCAGCGACGGCATCTCCTCCTCCAAATCGCCGGGAAGCGACGGGGTGTGCGCCGCAAGATACCCGATGATGCCGCCACGAGACTGCGGTCTCCCTCCGGCGAGCAATTTGGGCAACGAACCAACCTCGAACCCCTTCGCGCCTCCGCGGAACGTAGCCGCGTTCAGGGTATTTCCCACACCGAGCAATGTACCCAGTAGGCGTCGGAGCGTGCCCGAGCCCATCACCTCTGCGGCCGCCTCGGAACAAACGCGGAGCTGCGACGAGAGCTGCGCCGCGCGCGGCAGGTAGGACTGCTCCGCGAGCAAGAGCCGGAGGCGCGGCGCGAGACGTGGTACGCCTCCGACAATGGCGAAGAAGGCCTCCGCCTCGCCGAGGGACGCCTCGACAGCGTGTGTGTCGTCGAGGGCCACGCCTCTCGACTCGAGCCACTGCCGGACCAGCCGCACTTCCCCCGGCCGCGGGAGCGCGCACGGCGAGCCCGCTGTCCCCAGCAGCACCTCGATGCGGTCTGCGGGAAGCACGGCGGCGTCCAGGGTCGCGGCGGCGTCCCTCAACGCCGGCAGTGAGACGCGCCACGAGCGGAGCACGATGCCGATGGCGGAGGAGCGCTTCGGCTCGAGGAGCACTGTGCGGCTCCCACTGCTACGCGGCGTGTCGGGGCCGCCGCTGTCGCCGCGCCCTCCCGCTGCGCTGCCGGCGCCACGAGACGTGTCGCCTTGGGAGGCGGGAGGGGGTTGCGACAGCGGCGAGCCCGCATTGGCGGTGGTGCAGCGGACCGTCAACCCGGCGGCGATGGCTGCAGCGGCGCCCTTGCGGCGAGTGGGCGTGAGTCCGAAGTTATCCTCCAGCGACTCTGTCGAGACGGGCGAGAGCAGGACGCTCTCCCAGACGGAGCCAGCAACTGCGTGGCGGACGGTGAGGCGGGAGTGTGGCAACAGGTGAGGTGGTGAGGTGGTGAGGTGGTGAGACTGGGCAGGTGTTGCGTGCGTACTTCGGGCCGCTGGAAGCTTTGTCCACGGCAGCGAGGAGAGGGACCGCCGTCGCGGCGACGCGGTGCGTCCCAGAAGGGGCGGCTGCAGCGGCGGCGGAGGAGGAGGAGGAGGCGCCACCGCCTCGCTGGTGCCACCAGGGCCATGCGATTCCAGCGGCGGCGGGCGCGGCGGTGGCGGCGGCGGCGGCGGCGGCGGCGGCGGCGGCGGCGGTGGGGGCGGCGGCGGCGGGGCGCCATCTTGTCCGATGGGCGGCGGTTCGAAGACGCGCGCATCCGCCCCGTGGCTTGGCGAGCCACCATCGCCTCCGCTCGCTCCGACCCCTCCTTCTTCTGCTGAGGACACCGCCGTGCCACCGCCTGCGCGGGTCTTCCTCAGCACCTCCTCAGACTGGTCGAGCGCAGTCGTGGCAAGATGATTCGCGGTGAGCAGTGCGTCATCGAGCTCCGCCACGCGCGCGGACAGTTGAACTGTGCGACGCTTCTCGGCCGCCAGCTCCGCCTCTGTGAGCCGCAGCATGGACTGCACAAGAGCGAGCTGCTCCTCACGCGCGCGCAGTTCCTCCTGCGCCTCGAGGACGCACTCGGAGAGAATCCATACGCGCTCCGACTCACCGCCGTGCTCCTCCTGCACGACACGATTGCTCTCGGGCGTGCTGCGGCGCCACATGCGATGGTGGCAACTCTAACGTCGACTACAACAACGACGGCTCGCTTACAGTTGGTTCGGGCTCCTGCGGTTGGGGGCCTGTGCGGCGGAGGCACCGGGCGAGAGAGGCTGACCACGACGAAGAATCCTCCGACCAAGACTCGCGCGGCACCGGCTCTGACTAGCGACCCGCTAAAGAGCGACCCGCTAATGAGATCTTAGCGTGCAAGCCCCACCCGGCCGGCGGATGTGGGTGGCGTGGGCGTCGCCCTGCTTGCTCTAGGTGAAACGTCTAAAGGACGAAGAAGACCCGAATCCGCACGGCGGGCGGAGAACACGGGCACTAGACCAGGGAGGGCTGGGAGAGTGTGAATGGAGGGACACGTCACACGTGTATTCAGACGTCCCCCCCCCCTCGAAGTAGTCGTCATTCACATGGAACAAAAAAAGTTGTTTGGTATTGCTAAAAATCTCTCTCACATGGATAGAGAGGAAAGTGTCCCTCTCGATGGGGTATGGAACATGCATGAGGAGAGTCCGTGGCTCTCGAGAGATTTCACGTTGTAGAGCGCCTCTACATCGCTCTACAACGCACGCAGTTCGTCCCGCGGCGAATGTAGAGCTCTACAGCGCTACAGCGCTCTACAGCTCTACAGCTCTACAGCGCTCTACACACACTCTACATCCTCTACACCCTCCCTCAGTCTGAGCCTAGCGCAGCGCGAACTCGCTCTGAGCCTAGCGCAGCGCGAACCCTCGCACACAAAAGCTTTTGCGCAGCAACCGCGCGCCGCGGCCGGGCAACCCTTATCACGTTATCAGAACTTATTCTTTGTTTTGTGAGAGAGGCTGTATTTTAAGAATTCTTTGTTTTGTGGTGTACCTGTGTTAGTGCCAGTGCGCGCCAGTCCTGTGCCGGGTGTCGTGCGAGGGAGTGTCCTCGAATTCTTTGTTTGGTCATGGCGGTACCCACTTTACTCGCGGTGATAAGAGACGCATGGGTCTTAAGATGCGCATCGGGATATGTATATGTATTGGCAGCGCTAACCACCCTGTTCTTTGCGGCGCCAGCGCGCTGGGGTCCCCGGCACTGGCCACTGTCGTCACTTACTGAGCCCCGATTTTGTGCAAATACGGCTTTGTCATGTGTCGTGTGTGGGTAGCGTGCGAACGAGTGCCCACTCCACAGGATAGGGCCGTATTGTTTTGTCGCGTGCGATTCACACAGCGGATAGCACACGAGAGTCTCGTCGAGACACACAGGTACAGACGAGACACCGCACGTGTTCGTCCGAAAAACAGGCACTTTTTCGGTGCTGGTAGCCCCCCCAAAACAGGCGCGCGCAGCGCGCCCAGGGGCGCCGCAGGCGCCCCAAGCGGCGCGGAGCGCCGCCGCAGGCGGCGGACAGCAGGTGCGCGAAATTAAACGCCCTCCCCGAAAAATGTCTCCACCGACAGGGAGGGCCACGCCTCCCCGAGCCGGGAGAGGAGCCGGCGGAGGGGGGGGGCGAGCCGAGGACGATAGAGAGGCCGCGGGTGCGGGCGCGACTCGTCAACCAGGGAGAGCGGGCCCGACCTCCCGGGGAGGGGAGGCGACACGATCCAATGCCGCCGTCCTCGCCCGGGGAACTTCAGCAGGCTAGTCGATGCTCTCAGAGGCGGTAGTACCAGTCAGAGGTGAGGCGGAGGCGAGACCTCGCC